AAGCTTGAGGCATTATTGTATACTCAAGGTCACTTCTCTAACTTCAGGGATAACCGTTTAGGAATTACAGCCCCGAAATCAGAGTCAATACATATTATTATATCTTTGGGCTAAATTAAATAAAAACAGAGGGAAGCTTTCATTCATTTTGGTGAGTGCTTAATCGGATATCGTCTCCACTGTGTGATGTGAGCTGACAATGGTCGCTGCTGTGGTTATGTCTGGGGGCAATAGATTTTTGTTCTCTTCCTTGTGGATGTCACTGACAGAAAACTATTGCTTCCAGAAGCAAATTAGAAGACAGACAATGTGTGACTGGTTTCCAGCCAATGACATTTAGGAATTTACTCTGCAATTATTAATGACAGTTTATGTTGTTTCAACACTCGAGTCTCATCAAAAATCACCTCCATAGAGTAACATGAAATAGTCAATGGAGAGTGACACTTGCTGGCTCCGTTGCCCTCACCTGCTAGCTCCACTGAACCCACAACCTTCTGACTCAGAGGCGAGAGTGCTACCACTGTGCCAGCTATCTACAAGAAGCTTTGGAAACACAAAACCCAGAAGGCTATTGAAACAAATTTGGAATCTTGGAGAAATTAAACAAAGTGACAATATCCTTTTATAATTGAAAATATTGACCACAGTGGATCCGTAAATGTTTCAATATCTTATTCAGAGGAATCGTCAGCTTATTCAAAGTTTTTTGAATGCTCAAATTGACTCTCTTGTCCAGTATTTTCTAAACTCAAACCACAATTTGTTACGTATTGTGTTAGCAAAGTTGGCTGATATTATGGGATCACTGTTCTTGGAGAGAACAGAGTTTTAAAGAAAAAAATCTTTGAACATCAGTTATTACTATGAATACAAGGTAATAATAATAAGAATTAAATTTGCCTTCTTGTTAGGGAGGAGCTGAGGAGTCTGGCAAGCAGGACGTTGAGAATAATTGAAGCACTCCAGAACGCTACTCCACTTCAAGGGTGCTATTTAAATGCAAGTTGTTGTTGTTGAGTCTAAAGGTTTGAATGAAAGCACAACTATGGTGCTTGTTCACTCATCTGTTATAGTGTTAGACTTTTTTTGATCGTCAAGATTTTCATTCAAAAACATGTATGTCGTGCAAGTTAAAACCAAATCATTTTGTCAGTGCTCAATTGTTTCCAATATCCTTAAAACAGAAAAGTTGACTTTTAATTCATTTAAGAAAAGCATTGCAGGAATTGAGTTACCCTGAATGCATTTGTTTTAGTCGTCTGTGAGACAGATATTTTCTTCCACAACAGGAAAAAGACACGACTGAAGTCAGATTGCAAAGTAAATGAGAATAAAGAACTAGTCCTACGGAATTACAAGGATATAGAAATAATGAGTTTGAGGTAGCAAGAGACAGAGAAACAGAGTCTAGCAGTGCAAATGGGATTAATAGAAATTGACTAGCACTAAGCTACCTTGCTTTACTCTGTGTTCTTCCTTTCATAACCATTTATCTACACACACCCTTTCACCTGCCTCAGGTTACCTGGGGTGATACAGATGAAATATAAATCTCCTGATAAACCATTTGAATAAGTGACCAGATGGGTCCTGATTACAAAATTCTTTGGCAATTTTTTAGTGGGGTCGTGTGACATATGTACACTGAATCTACACTTAACAAACGTCTTTAGAAATGTTCAAACCAGGGGGCCCCTGAGAGCTGAAAAAAATCACTTGTACCGAGTGATTAGTGGGTTCAAATGTCAGCAAATGTTGGGAACTTGATCCTACATGTGCAGGAGCATGGTATTTTTTGAAACATTATTGGATTACCATTTTACTGATTAAACTCCTATTTTTATCCCCACTGAAAGGTACAGAAATGGTTAGTTCCCCAGCTGAAAAACTGATTTGTTGGTATTTTGAGCTTAACAAATGCAGTGATGAGCTGAGTGGCAGATGAATTGGTGCAGATGTAAACAAGTCCTGCATTAAGGCTGGTTAAACTAGTTATATTAGGGAGATGTAGACTTGATCTAATGGGAATGTCCAGGCCAAATCAACCACGTCACTCACCACTTAAGTTCTTCTGCTAAACTCCCCAATTTATACTTGTTTATCTCAATCCAGTATTATCCTAGAATCTTACCACACAGGAGGCCATTCAGCCCATCATGCCTGTGCCAGCTCTTTGAAAGAGCTACCGACAAGTTCCACTCCCCCTTCTTACTCCATAGCCCTGCAATTTTTTCCTTTTTAAGTACCTATCCAATTCCTTTTGGAAAGCTACTATCAAATCTGTTTCCACTACCGTTTCAGTCAGAGAGTTCCAGACCATAACAGCTCTCTGTGTAAAAAACAGTGACAGATCTCTGGTCAAACTGATTATATGCTTGTTCATATTCAAAGGTTTATACACTATATCTGGGGTACAACTGCCCTATTGAGTGCGGACAATATAGTACAACTAGAACAACTCATCCCATAATGTATATTCAAATTGCTTGTATTGGATCAGGCTGCTATACTGCAGTCTAACCCTATCATTGGTCAAATGGCAAATGGTACATTTTGTTATATAATAATCCTTTCCTTGTATTTGGTATTGTACACATTAGCACTGGTGGGTTGGATTTAATTTGAATTGAAGGAGTCAGGAGCAGTTAGTTGCAAAAATACGTTTTCTGCGGGACTGATAACAAGAGTCAATTCATGGCCTATGAAACTACAGTTCACTTCCTTGCAGAAAAATCCATTTCAATCTTGCTCTGTTACAAGGGATATTCCCCCAGTTAAATCTGAATGGTAGAAAATAAATTTACGTTTCATTTCTTAAGCGATTCTTCTCCTGACTTTAATCTTTTGGATGACTCTGTTGTGCAATACAGTACTTAAAAAGCAATACAAAGAAGAAGCTTTTGTAATTAACACAACCATGAAAACACAGCAATTTACCTGCATTCGAGTTGTTCTTTCATTTCTCTGATGTTTTCTTTCAAAGGACTGCAAATGTCAACCAAGGATTTCCAATGATAAACTTTTCCACTGAAGAAGTGGCAGGAACTAACTCTGGTCTGTCCCAAATATGGAATCTCTAGCAACAGTTGCTAGACACAAAAAACATGTGACTAATGCACTTGGACCCACTGATTACTCTTGAGAGCTGTAATAACTCATTGAACCCAGCAACAGGAGCATGTCCCCTCCTACTCTTACCTAAGGAGCCTATTGCTAGTGAAAGTTCCTGCAAATTTATCTCCTGATTTCTACAAAATGTACCAATTGTGAAACCTCTCAGTTTTCTTTTATTTGCGATGTCTCCTATTACTTTTCTCAATCCTTCTGTTTAAAAGCTTAACCCTCTGCAAACCAAAGGTCTTAGTGGGTTTGAATATATATTTTACCACTGCATTCCTGCAAAGTTCTCTGCAGTGGTCAGATAATAACAAGAGAATTGAAGTTTACTGTGAACCACAAGTAAAAGCAGGACATTATAAAACAAGTGAAACTTGTCCAGGAATAAGAATTGGGTTATTTTGGTTAGAGAAGAACACAGTGCATGTATTAAACTGGGAAAATCAGCATTTCTGTAAAACCTGCTGCATTTTTTAACAAATATTATGTAGAGCTTTGGATTAGCAATAGCTTACTCAAATGGATGTAACCATTGGATATTCATACAGCGTACATATATTTTCTGATCATACTAATCTGAAGGCGGGAACACATTTTTGGTTACACTCTTTGTTTGCCCAGTAATCTCTATCTTGCCCAAATAGGCATTCTTCATGGAGGGCCTCCAACAGTGAGTGTTGGCAGGCTATTCAACCATAGTATCTAGCACAGCACAGCAAAATTCTCTCCTCATCAAATGTTTACTCTCTGGCATCAGGCAATGGAAAACTATCACTTTACCACTTACTGATGGCTGAACCAGAAATGGGGAGTCATTGCTGGGGTGTTAGAGCAGGGAATCGACAATGATAAGGTTTCTTTCTAATACCCCATTTGTTTTTTATCCTTCAATAGGCCTTTATTTTTTTTGATTCCTCTTGAATCCCCCCCCCCCCTCTCCCTTAGAACAGATGGATTGCTCCTCTCACAACTGGTTGCCCCTTGGCAGTTGTTCTTGTGATGGCTTTCAGTTTTTCATGGGAAGGTCTTTTAAAACATTTCAGCATATCTTTAAGTGGAAACTGTATGGAACTCCCATAATCCTCAATATCATAATGGGAGACAAAAGGGAGATATTTATATACTTACCGGAGTATTTGTCCCCCTCACTAACAGCTGTTTTATTGATGAACTATGCCAGCTGGTAGCAACTCAATAACAAATATTTTTTGAGTAACCTCTTGCTAAAGTGACATCACAAGGTTCAGCTCTGGTGACATAATGAATGAGGAGCACCACCTATAATCCACTGTGTTTGCTCATGCCATCACTGGAAATCACAAATAACAGAAAACAAGGCAACAAGTGGGAGTGAGAGTTGTGTCATTTATATGTCATTTTCCTCTAACTTTGTTGAGCAACTCATGGGACTGGACTTTTAACCTGTTGCCTCTTTTGTAAGAAAGCCCTTACTAGTGGGAAGATACTCATGAAAGACTTGAGATACATAACCAGGTGCACTTATAAAACAAGATACCCCAAACAAAATGATGCATATTATTGCAATGGTCACTGGTCCCTCAATCTACGACTGTTTGTGGAACACTGTTATTCGCAATTGGCTGCCGTGTTTCATCCACAAAATACAGTCACTACACTTTACAGTATATCCTGTGAAGTACTTTGAGACGTCTCGAAGGAGTGATAAGGCACTGTATCAAAACCGGGGGTTATTATTACTATTATCACGTGTGACATGGGGCAGGTGGGCAAAGATTAATTCAGGGTGCATTGTGTTCTTGTAACAGGATAATGTGTTCTTGTAAACCAGCTTGGCTCACCATCCAAGGATGCACATTCCACCTCACCGAGCCAGTCCAGAACCTTGGTTTGACCCTCACCTGTCCTTTCTACCCCACGTGGAGTCCTGAGCTCAGTGGTTAGAGCACTCGCCTCTCAAGCAAGAGACCTGGGTTCAATTCCTGGCAGGGCGAAACCTTGGCCAAGTTTCCTCCACACGGCTAATAATAATCCCTCAAGAGAAAAAACAATAATAAATTGGTCACTTCAATCCACGACTGTTTGTGGGACACTGCTGTGCGCAATTGGCTGCCGCGATTCACTCACAAATATACGGTTAATTCACTTTAGAGCATAGTCTGTGAAGCGCTTTGAGACGCCCGGAAGACACGAAAAACGCTATATCAAATGCAAGGATTATTATCATTACATCCGTGCCATGACCCGCTCTGCCTTCCCCCACCTCCGTAACAACTCCCAGCTCCGCCGCTGTCTCACACCAAAACCCTCCTACACGCCTCCATCACCTCGAGGCTCAACTACGCCAACTCCTTCCTCGTCGGCCTCTCCCCAACTCCTCACTCCCTCCCTCCCTCCGCAGCTGCAGATCATCCAGAACTCTGCCGCTCCGCGTCCTCTCCCGCGCCCGGCTCCGCGGCCCCATCAGCCCCAGCCTCGCCCGCCCGCCCGGCTCCGCTGGCTCCCCGTCCCCCCGGGGGAGGGGAGGGGGTACAGTGTTCAAAATCCTCGCCTTCAGACCCCTCCACGGCCTCGGCCACCCCCCCGCCCCTCCCTACCTCGGCCACCCGCTGACCGCCCCCCCTATCAACCCGTCCGCCTTCCCTCCGCTCAGCGGGCTCCGGCCTGCTCCGCGGTCCCCCCCAACTTGGCCGCCCCACTCTCGAGGGCTGGGGACCCAGCCTCCCCGCACCCCCACCCCTCTGGAACTCCCTCCCGCAGCCCCTCCCTCCGCCCCCTTTCAAGGCCCCGTCTCAAGACCCCGTTTGCTCGACCTCGCCTTTCGGGCCAACCCTTGACCGCCCCGGAGGGGGGGCCCTGGGAGACCCGTCCCCCAGCGGGGAGGGCGGGGGGGGGGGGGGGGAGGGGGAGGGGGCGGGGGTGCTGAGCGTGACTCTGCGGGTGGGTGTTGTCACTGTGAACCGGAATCCTGCCTTTGGCTGCTGTGGGGGCTTCGGCTCCCGGAGCCGAGGAGCGTTGCCAGGGCAACGGCTGCCCGCTCCACTCCCAGACAGAGAGAGAGAGAGAGAGGGAGAGACGGGGCGAGGGAGTCGCGCGCGCTCCGGAGGCTTTCATCCCTTTAGCAAGATGGCGGCGGCGGAAGGGGGCGGGGGCGGCGGCGGCGGCGTCACGTGACCGACCAGCCCCAGCCAACCGGAGGCGGCGGGCTGGCGAGCACGTGATCCTACCCAGCACCGGCCGGGAGGCGCGCGCGGGGGGGAGCGGGTCCGACCCTCTAAAGCTTCCCCCCCCCCCGGAGAGAGCAGCGACCGGAAGTGTTCGGGTGATTCATGTGTTGAAGCCACAACAGCAGCCAAGAAGGAAACCCTCCATCTTCCTCCTCCTCCTCCTCCTCCTCCACTCCTTCTCCTCCCCACCAAAAAAAAATAGTGTCAGGGCAACTGCGGGTGTGTATGGGCAGAGAGAGAGGGGGAGGATGGGGTAGATAACCAACACCCCCCCCCCACACACACACACCCCCATCCCCTCCCCTCCCAGCAGCGGGGCCTTGTCCTGACTGAGGGTAGATTTCCAAAGGCACAACTTCAGATGGGATATATATATATTTTTATATATGTGTGTGTGTGTTTAGAGTCACTGTAAGTAACACTGATTGCAAATTAAACTCTACATATGGGTGTGGAGGGGGAGGGGAGGATTTAGGGGCAATGCGGAGCAATCCTGTAGCTCAGCGGTCGGAGCGCTGGCCTCGCCAGGCGAGGGGATCCGGGTTTGGTTCCCGATCGGGGCAGGGGGCCAAACGTTGGGCAGGTTTCCTTACTCCGCCCGCCCGCCCGCGCCCGCCTCTTGTTGATCACCGGCGGTAATTAGGCTGTGAGGTTTGTAAGTCGATTGGCGGATGGACGGCTTCTCCGGGGCTAATAAACCCTTTGGAAAATGAATCAGTAAAAATAGTAATGGTCGTTTGGTCACCACGACTGTTTGCGGGGACGCTGCTGTGAGCAATCGGCTGCTGTGTTTCGCCCGCAACATAAACGGTCAATTCACTTTGCAGTAAATTCTGTGAAGCGCTTTGAGACGTCTCGAAGACCGGATAAGGCGCTGTATCAAATGCAAGGATTAAAAAAGATAATGCAGCTGATGAATACCTGGACTCTCTTTGTGTGGTAGGGCAAGTATTTCAAGACACCACAGACTGAAGTGGATCATTATTGGTTTCAATTTCACAGCCCAAGCTACTAATACAGTNAAAAAAGTAAATCATTACCCTGTGTTGCTCCACGGAGCTCCTTTGTGGGGAAACAATAAAAGTTCAATGAGAATGACATCAGATTGTTTTAATAAAACATTATGGGGACAACATTAACAAATGCAACATTAAACTGAAGAGAAAGGAGTTTCTCCCAGTGTTCTAGCCAACATTCGTTCAGATAAAATAGGTCATTGATTCACTTCATGACTGTTTGTGGGACATTGCCTCGTGCAAATTGACTGCCATGTTTGCCCTCAAGTACATATTTAATATATGTGTTTAATGTATTTTTAGAAAGTTTGGAGAACAACTGGAGCCTCAACCAAGTAAATGATGAAATCAGAAGAGTCCTTACTTCCTGTGGAAATTCTGATTTTGGAGGCTGTTATGTAATATAATAATCCTTGCATTTGATCTAGCGCCTTGTCAACAACAGCAACAAAATGACATTTATAGTGCGCCTTTCACGTCGGGAGGACATCCCAAAGCGCTGAACAGTCAGGTCTCGGGGCTCGAGCATGGAGGAGAGGTGAGGGAAGGCAGAGTGGTGGGAGGGAGACCAAAGGCATGGTCGAAGAGAAGTGTCTTGTCAGGTCTTCAAGACGTATCGAAGCGCTTCACAGCTATGTGGTGCAAGGTGATGCTTTGGAAAGATGACTCCTCTATGTCTCAGTTCAAATTGTCTGTGACCAGGCTGTGCAAAATTGAACATACAAATTCAAAATGAGCTCAATGTCTTTCTTCTGTTGTTTAAAACCAGGATTCCCCCCAAAACACGTGACAGATAAATTCACCAGCAGGAGTGGCAGGATGACTACTGCAAATTTCTTTCAGAAGAATTGGTATGAAATTCTCGGTGCACATCCTTCAGACAGCCAACAGGAACTCAAGCAGAATTACCAGAAATTGGTCTTATTGGTGAGTACCAAAGAGTATACATTTTGTTGACTGTAGTTAGGTTGAGGAACGCCTTTTCACTCAACAATGACAAGATTTCATTTATAGAGCGCCTTTCATATCGGGAGGACGTCCCAAGGCGCTGGACACTCATTTGATGTCAACATTCCAGAATTCCCGCCCTACCCTTTTCCCATTTTCTTAATTGAGCCATTCTAATTATGTTCTACGTAAAGAAATACTTCCTAGTCTCTGCTCAAATTTCCATGAACTTGTGACCTCTCCTCCCACTTCCTTGGTGTATCTGAGGGTATTGTTCTGAGTTTATTCTCCCGATCATGTTTAAAAGTGCAGATATTTTTCTCGTGCTGAGTGTTATATTGATTATTATTAAGATCCTTAATTCATTGCAGTAGGTGAATACACTTGAAAGAACTAACATTCAGAAAACTGTGCTGTTGGTTTGAGCATTATTGACTGGTGGAGGTGAGAAGAAAGGAACAGAACAGCCGTTTTGGGTTTAATTATTGGTTTGGTGATGAAAACAAAGCCACAATTTATGGATTAATCCAGACACAGCTATGGCTGTAATCTCATGATTTAGAAAATGGTTTACATATCTTCATTACTGGATGATCCAGGCTTATGCTATCTTTGATCTTCTAAGAACATAAGAATTTACGAGGTGAAAGAAGACCAAGGTCCATCTAGATCGCCTTATTGGCAGTCGTTTAACATGTCATGTCCCAAACTATATACTGTAATAATAATATGCTAAGATATTATTTTCTAGCAGAAATCTATCCAATTTGTTCTTGAAACAACATGTTCTGCTTCCACTGTCTCCCAGGAGAGCCTATTCCATACGTTTACTACTCGCTCACTGAAGTAGTGTTTCCAGAGATTTGTTCTTAATTTACCCCCCTTCAATCGCAGGCCGTGCGTGTCCTCTGTTTCTACTGTTCAGCACAAGATAAAACAGCTTATCATGTACTGAACAGTGGATAGTACCCGATACTTTACACAGGCATTAGGTGGCAGTAGCGTGATACTTTAACATTCTGCACCGACCACTGTTTCTGCCTTTCAAATCTTGGTAAAATGTTATCGACCGGGTGATGCAAGATTATAATTTATTAAGTACCTTGAATTAGAAATGAAAAGAAACAGCCGACTACAGTTGCTGTGCATGCCAACTACAAGATATGCCCTCTTCTGATGCTGGCTAAAGGCTGTGTGATCAGTTGGTGGCTTGTTTCATGATTATCTTGGCATTTCTTTGTATTTTGAAATGAACCTTGCATGACAGCAGTTTACTGCTGGTGTAGAGAGGTTATCAATGTATAAAGACATTTTATCACCAGATCTAAACTCTGAGAGGATATCCTTGGGCTTCGCAGTCTACATCAGTGCCATGACAGTACGTTAAGTTACGGTTTAAAACCACTCTCTCGTCTTGATTTTAATGTAAGAATACAGCCTCCTGTCAGAGGAAGAGTGATTAAAGCAAATAAGGTGAAAGCTGTGTTAAAGAGGCTCAATCTGGGCTGGACTGACTAGCCCATTAAATCAAGGCAGACGCTTACCAGAATTAAAAAAAACTGTATGGAATTTTAAGCAAGTCATAATTTTATATTAAAGCATTTGCTCCGTTTTCAAATCGTTACTGGATTTACACAATATTCGGGCCATGATCTCTGGCAAAGCTTTTACCATTGCTGCTCTTATGCTAATCTTGAGGTGCGAAAGACTCGCCTGAGGTGGAATTTCCTTCTAGTATTCCCTCCCTCCCTCCCTCCTTCCTGTGGGAATGTAGAGCGTCTTCTCTTAGTACCTCCGCCGATAGCACAACTGAGATCAGGAGCTCCCTCACTGAGTACAGAAATTCAGCCTATTTTTGTGGTCACATACGTCTCAAACCTTTTGAGATTGGTGTTCATGACTATGTCAGCGGTCACTTCCTCCCTTCCCCCCAGCTCGGTGCCAGGCTCGCCACTGTTAAGTGCTCCGAGACGCTGCCCCTTGTGAAGAAAGAACTTAAACATAAGTTGTTATGTTTAGGGACAGTTGCCAAGAGATACCCCAAAGTTTCAGTTGGGGGGTTGTCTAGGTCAAATCAGCATCTGCAAACACTTTAGCAGCTGGCGACAGAATCAAGGAAGAATCGAGTCTTAATTCACATCATCTTTATAAGAAATGGCTGTTTAATTAAGATGACAAGTCAACCAGGTTCTCCATTGTAATTCAGGACTAAATCTGAAGGCACCTGCATCTATCGTGGTTCTATTTTCTGCTTGAAAATGTAATATTTGCAAATTTCAGCTTGTTGTGGCTAAAAATAATTTGAAACCCGTGATGAAAATAAAATGAGCAAACAAATGAAACGTGACAGACAGTGGTAACTCTTACTCTGCAATTCCTGGATCTGCCGACACTCACTGTCTAACCTCACACGTGAAGACAACAACTTGCATTTATATAGCGCCTGTCACGCGGGGTTAGGGTCCCGTAGCGCTCGACAGTGGCCAAGTCTGAGGCCGAGCCAGGGCAAGAGGAGGTTACCTCGATGGAGGTAACCGTAACCACCATCGAAAAGGAAGTTCTTTAGGCGAATTTTAAAGTGGGAAGGGAGGGGGCAAAGTGGAAGAATTGAGGGAGAGAGACAGACGGGTACTTGGTAACGTGCCTGGGAGCTGTGCCCTTGCAAGACGTAGCTCCTTAAAGCGAGAAGGGGAGAACATTGAGAATAAAAGAAACCACAAAATGTCAGTTTAGGCAGTAAATGTTGTCTGAACTGTATACATATTCTATATATACCAGTATGTACATATACAGTGAAACTCAGTTAACGAGCGCTTAAATGGTTAACCGCACAAGAATTTAAATATCAATTTTGATTTATAAACTGAGTTTTGAGAAATTAACTTGGACAGGTACAGTTGCCTCAGAATCTTCCAGTCGTGTCTTCTCGCTAGATGTCAACAAGTAAAGTTGCTTTGAGAATACAGGGGCAAGGAGGCAGTATCATTAATTTGAAACATTGATGAATTAATGATAAAAATACATGAAAGTGTTGGCTGACTGAATAGATCTATGATGAACAAAAGGAGAGCAAGGTGTGGAAAAACAACAAATGACCTCCATGGGTTTTCCAATGACATTAACAATTAGATATGACATTAATGTTGAGCATTAATTGAGCATTAAGCCAAGATTGCCCCTTCCTTTGATGCCACGGAGGCAACTAGGATATTGCAAACAAACTTTCAATTTCTGATTGAGCCCAAGTGCAAAAATAATGTTTCATTGTTAACACTCCTAGAATTCTGATCTTGAACACTTTGGTGAATCATTTGTCTTTGCCATAGGCATCTCCTAAGCCTTTGACAGGTCTGGCACTGTGCACTTCCAAACAAGTTAGCATCTTATTGCTTTTCCGTCAAAGACATATTCATGACTATCTGGTCTTCTCTCTAATTTATCGTTGATGGTTTGTCCACTGACTCTTTCCATCAACTCAGGGTTCCCCAGGGCTCTCTTCTCTTTCCCACTTTATTCTCTCCCCCCTTGAACGATCACCTCCTCTCATCAGCAACTCCTATCCATTCATTTGCTGACCTCAAGAAAGATTTGCGTGAAGGCGTTCCCTCTGACCCATTGAAACTCATCCAGAATACCTACCCAACTGTCCTCCAAGCACAACGTCAGTGTATCAAGGGATATGGGGCAAGGATGGTTAATTGAGTTGAGCTACAGATCAGCCATGATCTTATAGAATGGCAGAACAGCCTCGAGGGGCTGAATGACCTCCCCCTGTTTTTATGTTTATAAGATGCCCCATCATCGCATCAAAGTGAGACACTGCAGTTATCAGTTGCTTTCCGCACACAATCTTCATTTCTCTTGCAGAAACATTCACATTATCCAGATTCTGAAGATAAATGGAATCTTGTTTCTTTCAAGTCATTGAAAGTCCAAGCAATGCCCTACTTAACTTTTTAATCATTTCACCATCTCTTACTCTCTCTGTCAGTATTATTCCATCGAGGTCACAATGATCTGTGGATTTCGGGCCTGTCAGCAAGGAGCATCGCATTTGCTTTAGCCAATATAAGCAAAAGGATCTACCATCCCGGGTGGAAATAACAATTACCACGTGATTTAAAATGATCTCTTTTGTAAGAAAGAATCATGTCATTGACCATAAGTGACAAACCAGAAGTTATCTTTAAACATTCAGAATAAAAAACAAATTGTGCGACTAGCAATTCAAGGGTTAATCGATAACAATAATGGAGCTTTTAGGCTTCCCTATAATGTAACATGTGAAAAACAAACAGAGCGTTAATTAGAATTGGCAGATGATGTGAGGTTTCTTAAAAAATTGTACGAATTGTGATTAAAGCATTTCATTATTGTAATGTGTGGATGCTACAATGAGCCAGTTACCATGCTGACAGCTGAGATGGTAAAATTGCATAGGGGGGAAAAGAATATAATAATACAGTAAGCGCTGGAAGTTGTTTTAAAGTTCAAAGGTAACATTGTTTTTAAAATCTTGACACTCGCACTTTGTATTGTCAAACTCGTTTTCACTTTTAAGAATCAGCTTAATCCCTTTACAGTTAGACTGTGTACTCAGTCTCAAATACTGTAAGCACTCAATATCGTTAAGTAAAAAGAATCTTTGCTTTGATCACAAAAGAAGTGTTTAATGGATTACAGGAGCTTAAATGTTTAACTGGCGGATGTCCTCTATTTTAATTAAATGTTACACAGGTAATGTAGCAATAAAAGGGGATAAAGAATCATTAGTTAAACATCAAATGAGAGAGACTTCTAAATGTCAACCTGTTTGTTGTTGTAAGGGTTTATGCTCAGTTGAAAAGCATTGAAATGCTCTTCAGGAACAAATGCAGAGCACGATTTACATTGCCTATTGTTGCACATTAACAATATCAAATGAGAGCTGTTATTATTTTAGTGGGATGCAGATAAAGAAGAGGACACACTATTTTAATTGGTATTCTCTCGGATGTAATACTGTATCTGAAGTTTTTTGATATTGTGGTGCGGAACTAGATTCTTCATATGCTATAATGTCAGGTCCCATCAGGAAACCATAAAGTCTGACACTAATGGGATGAACATAAAAAATATTTGTTGCCAACTCTGTCACTATCAGGACAGTGATGTGGATTTTTTTGTCATAAATTTTGCCCACAAAATGTACAGTCTTCTGTGAAGCTCTTTGAGACGTCTCGAAGAATTGATAAGGTGCTATATCAAATGCAAGGATTATTATTATAAATTGTCATAAATTGCATTGTCTCCAAATGTTGTGTAAGTACCCAAGTTCTGGAGATCTAAGATTCCTTTGAAATCATCAATTCTATTTGTAGATGTATTCTGCTTTAACCAGCTACATAACGCAACCAAATGCACGCATACTCCTTAATTTAATGCTGCGTATTATTTATGTAAGAAATTTCATCTGCCAGTTGAGTTATGCTTTCTTTACCAATTTTTTTTTACTGGCTGTAACATATGAAGCATTTATTATAGTCGAATTGGAAATGAGTAGGTTTGTGCTTGTTTACATGAGGCTTCTTGACATGCCCATCATGTTTTCTTGATGCAAGTCCCCGTTTTCTGTACGTCTCATTCTTCCTGTTCACATCCCTTGGTAAATTGGCCCTAACGCCAATAGCACCGACAGCAAATTATCCAGAAAATGCTGTCGGCACAGGTTGTGACATTAGTGTCACACACACGACGCCTGGGCTCCTGCGGTTTAATTAACCTGGTTGCTGTCTCTAGAGTCCCAACAGTCTTGACTCCTATTCCCCAACCACCTCACTTTGCACTGCCCTCCCCAAAACAAATCGGAGCCATTGTATTGATTTTTGCTGTCAACTTTTTTTTTCTCTCTCCCCTTCCTGATTGGCAGTATCATCCGGACAAACAGAGTGCAGATGTGCCAGCGGGAGAACTTGAGGAGCGCGTGCAGAGGTTCATCGAAGTTGATCAGGCGTGGAAAATACTGGGAAATGAAGAGACAAAGAGAGAGTATGACCTGCAGCGTCGTGGTAGGTCCTGCCAAGGAGCTTTGTGAAGGCAGCAGCTTTTTAAGTCATCAATTCAGTATCATTTAAATTAAAAGAGGCTTTTTCAAAGAGGAGATAAAAGCAATAAATTATTTGTGTGTAATTATGCTGAGAATGATGCCTTCCTTCATGTTGGATGTTTTCACTTAACCTGTCGGCACATATCTTGAGGTCTAATGTTTTTGTTTATTTATATGAAGAAACAGTTAATTCAGAATATAATATGGTATAATTAAACATTTAATTTAAATTTTGGGGGGAAAAAAAGCTCACGATAATTTGCGTAATCTCGTGTAATGGATTTAATCTGAGGATAATAAACTTATGTATCATTTTTATCGTTGCTGGAATATATTATTATACAGGTTGCTTACTGGACCGTTAGTAATTGTTTGCTATGAGGGAGGTTAAACCTAGATTCAGTAAAGGCATTAACTAGGCATGCCCAGCATGCCTTTCCTTTATGCTTATTACAAAACGTCTCCTTAAAGCAAAGGCAGAGGCAGTTGTGAACAAGAAGAGGAAAAATGTAGGTCAGATCTGTCACAGATGGGCTACCATTACACGAAGTGATAGCTCGTCTTTCTCTCCTGGCCCTAGGACAGGGGTCCCTCAGACTTCCATTATAGCCTTCAATAAATGTATATCTACCCTACACAGCTAATGGGGGTGGGGGGGAGTCAATAATAGTGTATCGCCTGTGGGGAAAACACTCAGCCACACTCTGCAACACACTCTTGCCAAAATTGATGTGTGGTACCGTCATTTTTCAATGTGTCTGATGAAGGCACGCTGCATCTGCATCCAGTTATTGACTTCTGTCTTACTCCAGGGATGGGAACATTTCTCTCTCACAATGATTTTTAGGGACCTCGCTGCTAAGGTTACCAGCTTTTTTGTTTTGGAGCAAAAAAAATCTCCGTTGTGTCATTGTCAGCGTTCTTGATTTTATCAAGAATTATTCATTAAAAAAAAAGTTGGGGGAGGGGGGAGATTTGTGAATGCTGTTACAGCAGCAGACATCCCCAAATGCTTGTCTTGCTTAGGGTTACACAGAGAGATACAGCACGGAAACAGACCATTCGGGCCAAATCGTCTCTGTTTATATTCCACACAAGTTTCCCCAACATTCCTACACCACTGCCCTATACCGCTCTATTCCTTTCTCCCTCATGTACGTGATGATAGGAATTGTTGGTCTCTTTTAATAACAAGACAACTTGCATTTTTGTATAGGGTCCCTCACACAAGGTAGTGTTGCAGCTTGGAGGAATGCAAATAATTGGTAGACGTACTATAACTATAATGGGAATAAAGTTGTTTCTATAATTATTACACGTGTAATATTCCTGAGGTTCTTTGAATATAGTACCCAATCTTAATTGTTCTGTATGGAACAGCATATTAGCTATGAATAACTGCCATCCTGAAACTGGAACAGGCAGCCCTGTGTGAGGAGGCAGTTTAGGTCCATGTTAATAAATGTAGTCTATAGAATTATAACCAGAGATGACCACAAATAGTTAGATTATTAGCAGTGCTCAGCGACATGAAATTGTGCTGCCCTGACTGATTCACATCAACTGGTTGGCATCACACGAGGCAGCTTAATCCTTTCTCATAAACTAATCAATATCTTGGCTGTTTCCCTGATGGCTGCCATCTCAACTGCAGAGAAAGCATTTGACAGGAGAGAGGGGAGTTGGCTTGCTCTCACTGAAAGTCAATGTAGCGCTGTCCCCTTTTGGAAAGGATCTGAAGCTTGTACAGCAGTATTGCGATTAGTGGCATTATCTACCCTCTTTCACGCTGAGAATGGGTTGTTGGGAGTGCTGTCCACTCTATTGTTTATTTTGGCAATTGAGCCACTGACTGCTGTCATTATATCCTCGCCCGCCATCTGGCCAATGGTAGGGAATTAGAAATACCATCCAAGCTCTCAGTCTATGCCAATGAAGACTGGCTTCTCAGAGAGAGGCCCCTCGAGACCATTCAGCATATTGTTGGTTAATTCAGTGCCCTGCCAGATTAGAAGATAATTGGAATAAAACCAAGATTGTCCCAATAGAAATATCGTTTTTGCCAGGCCACGTCATCAGTCAGTTAGTATGAAATTGGAAACCCAAACGCACCCACAACATTAATGTCAATCACAAAGGCTTTGGTGTGTGATTAACAGGCAACTTTACAAACCATACCCAGAAACTATCTTTATGAATATTGAAATTGTTCATTTTTACAACACGAACAAAATGCTGCGGAGAAAATCTGAGGGTTGAAAGGGAAGCCCTTTGTGCTCTTTTTGGGGAGGGATCAGCTGAAATGTGATGACTGAAGGAAGGCTTTACTGTGCAGATTGGTGTATCTCTCACAGAGTTATGTAAGAAATGTGATGTCTAACATATCCAACTCTGTAATGCTTCTTTATATCATTCGACTAATTTGATGTCGCTTCCGAAGGTAGAGCGATTCCGAGCACAAAGCCTGATGCATAGTTACCCGCTTAATGACTGACCAGGACTGTGGAGCGCACTACAATTGTGCAACAATCTGCCTACGCAGCCCACACAGTTTTTTGTGTGTTATTAAAGAGTGAAGAAAGAGTGTGACCATCTCTATTTAATGGCTAAAATACAAGGGTGGGTATTTTGGGGGGATAAAAGTAATATGTTCTATTATTTCTCAAACAACAGTCCTTCCCCTCCTCGCATCCCACCCCATTCCCTTGCGGAGTAAGTGTCTGTATATTAATGGTGATATCGAGTGTAGCTCAGTCATTTGAGGACCAGGTAGTTCTGGGTTTGAATCCCAATGGATCTGCTCATTCTTTTACCCTTTCAAAGTTGTTTGGATGAATAACGTGTCATAATAAATACCCGAGAGTGTGTGGTGATGATGGGGGCTGAACAAGTGGTTAAGGGGAGCAGGTTGGGTATCAGAATTGTTCCTGTAAAGGGTTCCCTTCTGATGAGAATGTCCTCCAGTCACACAGAATAAATGCCTGTTAATAGAGAGAGAGAGAGATACAGCTAGTTTGCTTCCTAATAACTTATTTTTCCGAACTGTTTTTTTTGTTACCAGGCACGACGGTTGAATTCACACTGTGCTTTCACCAAAGGTTGGTGACCAAGTACATCAATTGATGGGCTAGTACTGTAGTATCCAGGGACAATTCTGCTTCAAGCTAAACGTAGATTTCTCCAGACTTGTCTATAATTGAATTGGATAGTGCATTTGCTTTCAGACGACATGCTCGTAAATCCAATCACTTAAAAGTATTAGTATTTAATTACTGTATGTGTTCTTGTAAAATTAAACCAAGTGCGTTAAAGCTTGAGAATAATCATTTTGTAATGTGTATGGATGCCATGTACTGGTAACTCTCAATAAATAAATTAGAACTTGGGGCAGCTGGTAAAGCATGTGCACTCGGAAACTCTGAATGTCCCAGCAAGAGCCGTAGTAAAGCTTTATTGAGCCAAGCCTCTAATAGTTATTTAATGTTATTCTCCGGTCTAAAAGAATCTCAATAGATTTTGCTTTTAATCCCCTTTCAATTGTAGGCCCATAAACCTTAATGATGAGCCTTACAGTGTTTTCTCTGATCTGACAGTTGAGACAATAGCTCTGCACAATCTCTCCACCTCTCTTTGTCAGATCAAACCCAGCAGGACAGGAGGTCGCAGAGGTTTGTCCTTTTCGGATATTCCAGTACTCCTTTAGAACGGCTTTCATCAGCTGTCACATGAGAACATGGCAGTTTAGTGCTATCTCTATTTAGAGCCACAGCTCAGTGAAATCCATGTAGAAAGAAATTGCCAATGAGTCATAGTAAAGAGAATCTTCTAAAACAAGCTTTCCTTTTAGATTTTCGTGAGCGTTCTGCAATGAGATTAAAAGAACGGACCAGGCTGGAGCACAGGCACACACACAGCTGTAAAAGCATGACATTCCCCAAATACAAATGCAGATGCAAATAGCTAGCTTTGTCGGGTAATTAATCAATTTTATATGTTCATAACTACTTTTTGGGGGGGCATTTCAAGGCGAAAGACTGCACTATATTTATTTGTAAATGTAAGTTTTTAACATTAAGATTTTATCAGTCCAGAAGCCATGTTGACTTTGTACCTTAGGTAGGAAAATAGGAATGGGATTCAGCCCATCGAGCCTGCCTTCAGCCACTACATCCCCAAACTCTGGAGCTCTCTCTCTCAATCACTGCGACTTGCCCCCTCCCACTGGCTCGTTGTCAGACTGTGCCACTGTAAAGTGCTCCAGGATGCTGCCCTGTGTGAAGGGCGCTATGTAAATGCAAGTTGTACCTTCCGACTCACTTTTCTTGCAATTTCTTGTGCCATCGGAATAAAGAACAGAAAAGGTAGGGCTTGAATAATAAGGAAAGGCTGTGGAATTATATATACCTGTAATGTGGAGATTCAAGTTTGAGTTGTCTTTCATGGGCGCTAGTTATCAGGTGTAGTCTTGCCATCATTCCGACATATTTTTGTTCTCATATCACCTTCCCCGATTCAGCTTAAATGCCTTTACCCTAAAAACAGAAGATCTATTTAAACCAGTTCTTCCATGATCAGAATTTTAAGGAAACACTTGGCCAGTTTATGATTTTCTCTCGAAGGCGTTTGATTCTGTTTTTCTTAACATGAGAGGACACTTTCCTCATGTTCATTTGGTCATGTAGTGTCAGCCAGGAAGGTGTGCTCATGACCTGTTCAGAGGTACCTTGATGTTGAGGTTGGGAGTGAAAGAGAACAAAACTCTGACCTATTTGTTAGTCTCCTGCGGGCAGCCCCATATCTCCCCTTTTCTCCCACATTTCCCCAAGTAACGTTCCCATTCTTGAGGACCGTAAGCGGGGAATCATGGAAACATATTTGCAATCTACCACTTCTTGGCACAAGCCTGAGAAGAACTGAAGTTCTCCCATCCTTGGCTGCTTATTGCAGTAATAAAGATTAGCT